TTTCATTCTTTCTTTCTTTCCTTTCTTTTCTCCCTTTCTTTTTTTCTTTTTTCTTTCTTTTTTCTTTTCTTTCTTTCTTTCTTTCTTTCTTTCTTATTTTCTTTTTCTTTTCTTTTCTTTTTTCTTCATTCATTCATTCAATCTTCTTTCTTTCTTTTTTCTTTTCTTTTTTTCCTTCCTTATAATTTTTCTTTCTTTCTTTTTTTGATTCTTTTGCCTGGTTTCATTGTTTCTTATTTTTTTCTCGCATTTTTTCTTTTTTTCTTTCTTTCTTTTTTTGCCTGCCTTTCTAATACCGATTTCTTTCTTTCTTTCTTTCTTTTCTTTCTTTTGCAAATTTCTTTTGCCTTCCTTTTTCATTTTCTCCTTCTTTTCTTTCTTTCTTTCTTTCTCGTTCTTTTGCCTGGATTCATTCATTCATTCAATCTTACTTTCTTTCTTTCTTTCCCGTTCTTTTGCCTGCCTCCTTCCTTTCTTTCTTTCTTTCCTTTCTTTCTTTCTTTCTCGTTCTTTTGCCTGGATTCATTCATTCATTCAATCTTACTTTCTTTCTTTCTTTCCCGTTCTTTTGCCTGCCTCCTTCCTTTTTCTTTCTTTCTTTCTTTCTCGTTCTTTTGCCTGGATTCATTCTTTCTTTCTTTCTTTTTCTTTCTTTCTTTCTTTCTTTCTTTCTTTTCTTTTTTTTTCTTTCTTTCTTTTCATTTTTAATTTCTTCTGCCTTTCTTTCTTTCTTTCCCGTTCTTTTGCCTGCCTCCTTCCTTTCTTTCTTTCTTTCTTTCTTTCTTTCTTTCTTTCTTTCTTTCTTTCTTTCTTTTCTTTCTTTCTTTCTTTCTTTCTTTCTTTCTTTCTTTCTTTCTTTCTTTCTTTCTTTCTTTCTTTCTTTCTTTCTTTCTTTCTTTCTCGTTCTTTTGCCTGGATTCATTCATTCATTCAATCTTACTTTCTTTCTTTCTTTCCCGTTCTTTTGCCTGCCTCCTTCCTTTCTTTCTTTCTTTCTTTCTTTCTTTCTTTTTTTTGCCGTTCTTTTCAGTTAATCTATTTTTTCTTGACTTTCTTTCTTTCTTAATTTCTTTTTTTCCTTTTCTTGAAATGCCTTTCTTTCTTTTTTCCATTCTTTCTTTCTTTTTTCTTTCTTTCATTTTTAAAAATTTTCTTTCTTTTTTTCTTTCTTTTCTTTCTTTTCTTTCTTTTCTTCCTTTCTTTTCTTTCTTTCTACATTCGTTCTTTTGCCTGAATTCATAAGTTCTTCAATCTTTCTTTCTTTCTTTCTTTTCCCAGTTCTCTTTTAAATCTCATTTCATTCATTTTATTTCTTTCTTTCTTTCTTTCTTTCTTTCTCGTTCTTTTGCCTCCTTCCTTCCTTTTCTTTTATTTTTTTTCTTTCTTTCTTTTCTTTTTTCTTTCTTTCTTTTTTTTTTCTTTCTTTTTTTCTTTTTTTCTTTCTCGTTCTTTGCCTGGATTCATTTTTTCTTTTTTCTTTTTTCTTTCTTTCTTTCTTTTTTTTCTTTCTTTTTTTCCTTTCTTTCTTTCTTTCTTTCTTTTTCTTTTACTTTTTCTTTCATTTTTCTTTCTTTTCTTTTTCTTTCTTTCTTTCTTTTTTTTCTCGTTTTTTTTTCTAATTCATTCATTTTTTCAATCTTACTTTCTTTTTTTCTTTCTTTTCTTTTGCCTTCCTCCTCCTTTCTTTCTTTTTTTTCTTTCTTTTTTTCTTTCTTTTTTTCTTTCTCGTTTTTTTTTCTTATTCATTCTTTCTTTCTTCTTTTTTCTTTTTTTCTTTTTTTCTTTTGCCTTTTCATTTTCTTTCAATTTTTTTCTTTCTTTTTTTTTTCTTTCTTTTCTTTGCCTTTCTTTCATTCTTCATTCAATCTTTTTTTCTTTCTTTTCTTTCTTTTTCTTTTCCACCTTTTTCTTTTCTTTCTTTCTTTCTTTCTTTCTTTCTTTCTTTCTCGTTTTTTGCCTTTTTTTTGTTTGTTTGTTTCTTTCTTTCTTTCTTTTCTTTTTGCCTGCCTTCTTCCTTTCTTTTCTTTCTTTTTTCTTTCTTTCTTTCTTTCTTTCTCGTTCTTTTTGCCTGGATTCATTCATTCATTCTTTTCTTTCTTTCTTTTCGTTCTTTTTCTTTCTTTCTTTTTTCTTTTCTTTTTTTCTTTCCTTTCTTCCGATCTTTCTTTCTTTCTTTCTTCTTTCTTTTATTCCTTTCTTTTCGTTCTTTCTTTCTTTCTTTCTTTTTTTTTTTCTTTTTCTTTCTTTCTTTCTTTTTTTCCTTTTCATTCATTTGTCTCCTTCCTTTCTTTCTTTCTTTCTTTCTTTCTTTCTTTCTTTCTTTCTTTCTTTTTTCTTTTTTTTTTTTTTCTTTCTTTCTCTTTCTTTTTTCTTTCTTTTCTTTTCTTTCTTTCTTTTTTCTTTTCTTTTTTCTTTCTTTCTTTCTTCTTTTCTTTCTTTTTTCTTCCTTTCTTTCTTTTCTTTCTTTTCTTTCTTTCCTCGTTCTTTCTTTCTACCTTTCTTTCTTTCCTTTCTTTTTCCTTTCTTTCTTTCTTTCTTTTCTTTCTTTCTTTCTTTCTTTCTTTGTTTTCTTTCTTTCTTTCTTTTTTGCCTTTTTCATTCATTCATTCAATCTTTCTTTTCTTTATTTTCTTTCTTTCTTTTCTTTTTTCTTCCTTTCTTTCTTTCTTTCTTTCTTTTTTTTCTTTTTCATTCTTTCTTTTCTTTCTTCATTCATTCATTCTTTCTTTTTCTTTTCTTTCTTTCTTTCTTTCTTTCTTTTCTTTCTTTCTTTCTTTCTTTCCTTTTTTGCCTTTATTCATTCATTCTTTTTCAATCTTACTTTCTTTCTTTCTTTCTTTATTTTCTTTAAATTTCTTTTTCTTTTTTTTCTAGCTTCGTCATTTCCTTTTTTCTTTCTTTCTTTCTTTCTTTTCTCCATTTCTGAAACCTGTTTATGCTGTCTGTAGATTTACTTTATTTCTTTGGTTAGACTTTCTTTTTGTCTTTCTTTCTTTCTACCTTCCAATCCCATTTATTTTTTATTATTTTTACCATTCTTTCTTAATTTGTTTTATAAATAGCCTATTTTTTTTTTCTTTCATTCTTTCTTTCTTTCTTTCTTTATTTTTTTTATGTATTCCTTCATATTTTCTTTCTTTC